GACACAATACACCAGCTTGCACCAACAAAAACAGATGTAAGGAGTGTAACTCCAAACATCACACCATGTTTCATTCACTACTCTTCAGACAATCGTCAGGCAGCAGCAATCAAGCGTCTTCCAGAACACAATCATCACAACAATCATCATCCAACAATCAACCTTTAACTTCACAGCAGTGAAGAGACGTAGGAGTCTTGAAGAACAATCATCTCTAACACAAACATTTAAACTTGCTGATGGACTCGCTCTGAAGGGTCAAACTGACTGGATGACCTTAGCACATGAGGTTTCGGCCTCAGGAGGGTTGAGGGTTCAGTTGGAATGGTCCAAAGGACAAGTTCAGAAGCAGGACAATCAAAAGGTCAGAATGACCACAAGACAATCAATCAATATTCAACTAGTAGTGCGAATAGCACACAAAATCAACAATCAAGTGACGTTAATTAAATTCAACCTAATAGACGATCAACGACGAGAGCAATCGGCTCAAATAAAACTATTCCAAGTCATCTACAAGATGATCATTCAACGCTGTTAGCAACAGCAAAAGTCAGAGCCAATTCACATTCAGGAAGTTACATTGCACGAGTGCTCATAGATCCTGGATCAGAGCTGACATTAATCACTTCTCATCTAGCCAACCTGCTGTAACTGAGAAAACACCATCAGACAATCAACATAAGAGGAGTGGGAAGCTCTGAGCTCACTCAAACAAACGGTGTAATATTCTGCGAGCTACAATCATTATTATCCAATCATTTAGTATACATTCGAGCTCACATAATAAAACAGTTGACAGCTTTAATACCAAAAGTGCCATGTAATTATCCCAACAATTATTGGCCTCATCTCAATGGATTAACACTAGCCGATCCAACATTCTACAATCAATAGACATTCTACTTGGAGCTGACTTTTATGGACAAATCATCAAACAAAATATCATACTTCATTCTCCAACAGCTTCTATAGCTCAACTTTCGATCTTTGGTTGGCTAATTCTTGGTCCAGTAGCACCAAATTCATTAGTCAATCACTATTATATTCATTATGCTACTACAATCAAGAACTATGAAGACATTCAAGAGTTGCTAACAAAATTCTGGGTCCAAGAAGAAGTTCCTATGTCAAATCAACATCAATTATCACCCTTGGACCAACGATGTGAAGATTTCTTCAAATCAACACATTCTAGACATTGATTAGGACGATACATTGTTCGAATTCCACTTACTTATTCACCTGCAGCTCTCGGGGATTCCTATACAACTGCGTATCGATGCTTGAAACGTCAGTTGAGGAGATTAACCAACGAGACTGAATACAGCAATCTCTATAGACAATTCATGACAGAATGCGAAGAACACATTCACATTCTCATCAAAATCAGTCACTCATGAGTCAACATATTCAAAACGTCTCATTCTTCCAGAAGTAGCTCAAATTTATGATCCTTTGGGGTTTGTGTCACCAATCACAATCAGAGCTAAGATGCTCCTTCAAGAACTCTGGTTACACAACCTCAGCTGGGACGAACCAGTCCTACAATCAATCATCAATCGCTGGCTGATCATTAGAGAAGAATTTACTCAACTTCATGAGATCTCACTTCCAAGATGGATTCACACAACCAGACATTTAACTGTAGAAATTCATAGATTCTCTGATGTCTCACAGCTTGCGATGGCTGCAGCAATCTACCTCAAAATCAATTCACTGTCCACAAGACCCAAAATCACACTCATCTGTGCAAAAACTAAAGTAGCACCAATCAAACAAATCACGATTCCCAGGCTAGAGTTAACAGCTGCGTTAATTCTAGCGAAACTCACAAAGTATGTTCGAGCTACACTCCACGGAGTGAACATACATTCAATTCACTTATGGACGGACTCTTCAATCACTCATTCATGGATCAATTCAAATGCAGGACGCTGGAAGGACTTCGTCAGGAACAGAGTAGTGCAAATACAAGAACCAGTTGCGGACGCGCACTGGCACCACATTTTTGGCAAGGAAAATTCAGCGCACTGTGCTTCAAGAGGCATTACAGCCAATCAATTAGAAGATTACTCGCTATGGTGGAGAGGGCCCACCTGGTTAGCTGAAACTCAAGAAAACTGGCCAGTAAATTCACCACCAGCTGACGAGGCTTGCAACTTAGAAGCTCGTACTGGAATTTCACTCATAGCAACCATTCAAGATACAATAATTCAATGGGACTTGGTTAACAGATATTCTACTCTCAACAAGTTACTCAGAATCACCGCCGTAATTATAAAATTCACTTCAAGACTTCGACATTCACCAGTTACCAGTCCTGTAGCATCAATCACAACAGCTGACATCGAAAAGGCCGAGAATCTTCTGGATAAAGTCTACTGAAGCAGCACATTTTCACCAAGAAATCAGGACTTTATCTAATAATCAACATCTTCCACCAAATCATTCATTCAACAGACTCACAGCATACGTTGACTTAGAAGGAGTTCTACGAGTAGGAGGACGACTTCAGCATGCTCAGTTGAGTCATGATTCAAAACATCAATCAATTCTACCTCGACATTCACCATTCACCACTCTTATTATTAGACATTATCATTTAACCACACTACATGGTGGCATTCAACTTACACTCACAACAATCAGACAACGTTACTGGATCATGAGTGAAAGAGCTCCAGTAGAAACATTCATTCTTCGGTGCATCAAATGTGGTCGACAAAGAGGCATTAAAGCACAATAACTCATGGGCCAATTGCCATAATCACGTATCACTTCTTCACGGCCATTCTCTCATACTGGCATGGATAATGCTGGGCCATTCACAATCAAAACATCATCAGGCAGAGGAGCCAAGACACGAAAAGCTTGGGTCTGTGTATTCGTCTGCATGTCAACTTCTGCAGTTCACTTGGAAGCAGTTAGTGTCTATTCATCTAAAGCATTCATTGCTGCCTACAGGAGATTCACTTCTAGACGAGGATTATGCAAGACAATCTATTCTAACTGTGGCAGAAATTTCATAGAAGCTGGTATAGAACTCAAGAAACTATTCACACAATTCACCAGAGAACATGAGGTCATCTCTAGATTCATAATCACCAACGGCACTCAATGGTCATTCAACCCACCTGCAGCGCCACACATGGGTGGCAAGTGTGAGTCAGTAGTGAAACTACTTAAATTTCATTTGACGATCAATCTCAGAAACTGCACATTCAACTGGAAATCGATGGCGGATGATTCGACGACAATCACAGCAGTTCTGGTACAAGTAGTCACAATCTTATTTACAAAAACTACAAGCAATTTCTAAGTGGTTCTTCAGGAACAGAACAATTCAAGTTGGTGCATTAGCTTTGCTAACCGATGAAAGATTTCCCCCCACGAAATGGCCACTCGTGAGGATCATTCAATTGCACCCAGGGCAAGACGGGCTTCCACGAGTAGCAACGGTGAAGACACCAACAACGACGTTAGTCAGACTAATCGTCAAACTGGCCATTCTACCAATTAATCCAACCCCTGAAGCCCAGCAGCAGAATCAACCAGAAGACAATCATCAACCAGTTGCTGATGGCGGGCGGCATGTTGAGAATTAATTAATTCTCAGTTTGTGTCCATTTTGACTAATGAAGTTCCTGTCGCCATTCTTTCAATGTTTTCGTTCACGTGTACACGCCATTCTAATGTTTTTCGGACAATCTTGAAGTTTTGAGTCAGTCATTAGTGCTAGTACTATTCTAAATCACCAGAAACATTCAAGCTTCATTCTACAATCAAAATCAACTAACATTTCAAGACATTTCATAGTAAATTCAAGAAATTTCATTAAATTCATTTTGCATTGCATTGATAGCTTAACTCCACGTGCACAATCATATTCTTGCTCAACTTGAAAAGCGTGCTGAGCTCGTGTGGGAGGTCAATAATACCGAACACACCGAGTTGAGTGCTTTTTAGACCTTCAATTAAAATTCAGTAATTACAATTGACATTCAGTGATTTCTAAAGACGTTCATTTCTTGTATTCAGTGACAAAAGTTGTACAGTGTATGTTGTGTATCTGTTAGTACTGAAAATAAAGATTCTATATTTTTTATAAAACCTGACTTCCGTTTGCTCTGTTCCGGCACAATCATTCCTATCCTTGAACGGTTAGGCTAATTCAAAAGTTGAGATTTTTTTAACATCGGTAATTAAATCCAATATTTGAATACTTCAAATTACCTAACATTTTTTCAACATACGGTTAACGATTGAATTATTTTCCGTCTCATAACATGATGACATATCAATTTGATTACACACAACCGTCTCTACATTATAATTTCAGATATATGTTCAACGTCAACCTCAAATTAAGCATTTCGTTTAAATATTACGTCGAAATTTCACAATTGAGTTTTATTGCTCAGCGAAGTGGACCGGTCTAAGCTCGTGCTTTTATATGTCTTAAAAGAAAAAGATATGTAGTCCAGTAAGGGTGCAAATAAAAAAAGGGGTAAAAGAAAATCTAATCTCCCACTTCGAACTAAGGTTTATTTTATATAAAATTACAGGTGGATTCCGAAAAACTATTTGCAGGCAAAAAAAATGTACGCGTCATTGACTCTTTTATTATAAATAATTATTTTTCACCGAAATCTATACATTTTCTTTATTAACTTTTCAGTTATGCAGAAATCGACAATACGTCATAGGACATTTTTTATTCCTTATTATTCAATGAAGATTTCTGTCACCTCACTTTTCTCATTTTTTGCCTATTTTTTGAGATATTCGATCCTGAAAAATGAAAAAGAGCATGCTAACTATTTTACAATTATCATGCCAATTTCTCGGTATCACAGAATCCTTTCCAATAGATCTCAAAATGATTTTTCAGAACAATATATAATGACAAAATTACGAACCACGAAATTACAAAAATTTTTCAACGGAAGAAATTTTATGGATATTGTATAATTTATAATGACCTAAAATTTTTATAGACTTCCACTTGTTCAAGGAGGAACGATTTCTTTTCTTGTTCCAACTTTGGCTATTCTGAATCTTCCTCAATGGAAATGTCCACCTTCAGAAATTCTAAACAATATAAGTCCGGAAAATAGAACTGAGCTATGGCAAATACGGATGAGAGAGCTATCTGGAGCAATTGCTGTTTCAGCATTATTTCAAGTTATTATTGGTTTCGGAGGCATAGTCGGATATTTATTAAAATACATTACACCTCTAACTATTGTCCCAACGGTTTCACTAGTAGGTCTATCTTTATTTGAGAATGCGTCTGCTGCTGCTTCACAACATTGGGGAATTGCTGCAGGGTAATAAGAATATCCAAATCTTGTTTAATTTAAAAATAACGTTCAGTAAAAAAAAAACAAAAGAGATGAATGATTGTATCCAGTATAAAGTAACTATATTCAATGGGTATTGACATAAAGCCCAGCTAATAAGATTTCGAAGAAATCTGGATTAACAGTATTTCATGATAGAAAACTACAAAAAACTTTCTTAATGTCTTGCTCATTTTATAAACGGATTACAACGTTAATTTCGTGCAAAGTTCATTGAGAACAAAAATCAGATTATAATCAGAATATATTTAAACATTTTTTTATTATTTAACTTATCATTAACAATTCTACAGCTTGAATTATTTTGTAAATGAATATTTACAAACAACTACTCAAAAACAGTGATTTTTCAATTTTTTAGAGCCAAAAAACGAAGGGACCGTGAAAGTACAAAATTACTAAATATTTGTGTACGATAAAATAAATTCCTTTCGCTTAATTAGAACATATTTATTCGGAGAATATTTAGATATTTCTGTATGTAACTGCAGTCTTGTTAAGCATTCTTAAAAAAAAAAAAATCATCAATAATAAATTCAGAAATCTACTTTTAGATTAGGTACTGAGGTTAGGTACTAGAGATTAGGTGCGGGTCTCTAGTCTCTTCTCTCTAACGCTAGATCTTGGTATTGAGCGTAGATCCGGTAGTAATCAATCTGATCACACAAAGTGACACACAAAGTTATTAGGCACAAATTTCTGTACAACCTCCGCCGTCCCTCTTACGGCCTAAATTTAATCATCAATAATAAATTCAGAAATCCACTTTTAGATTAGGTACTATTTTCAATGAAGTCAATCAAACATTGAACTTTCTCTATTTTTATTTTTTACTGCACTGTTAATATGAAAAAAATATATCAAGTTTATTATACAATATTTATTAATAATTTCTTTTTTCAGGACAATTTTGATGTTAACAGTATGTTCTCAACTGTTAGTGAATGTCTCATGTCCTCTTATAGTGTATAAAAAAGGTCATGGATTAAGAATAGTTTGGTTTGACTTGTTTAAACTATTCCCTGTTCTTCTTACTATCGTAGCAATGTGGATAATATGTGGAATTTTAACTGTAACGAATATCTTACCAGTGGGTCATCCTGGGAGAACGGATACCAAATTGAAAATAATAGAAGATTCACCCTGGTTCCGAGTACCCTATCCCGGTCAATGGGGTATTCCGACTGTAACTGTCTCAGGAGTACTTGGAATGCTTGCTGGAGTTCTTGCATGTACTGTTGAATCGATAAGCTATTATCCAACAACATCACGAATGTGTGGAGCTCCACCACCACCAGTCCATGCTATCAATCGTGGAATTGCAATTGAAGGATTAGGAACTGTTTTAGCAGGTCTTTGGGGTAGCGGCAATGGTACGAATACGTTTGGTGAAAATGTAGGGACCATTGGAGTTACAAGAGTTGGAAGCAGACGAGTTATTCAGTGGGCATGTCTCATCATGATTTTACAAGGACTTATCTGTAAATTTGGAGCAGTTTTTATAATAATTCCTGAGCCTATAGTCGGTGGTATTTTCTGTATCATGTTCGGCATGATTGCTGCTTTTGGATTTTCTGCTTTACAATATATTGATCTGAACTCGGCAAGAAATCTGTATATACTAGGATTTTCTATTTTTTTTCCACTTGTCTTATCTAAGTGGATGATTCAACATTCAGAAATTATCAATACTGGCAATGAAGTCGTTGACAGTGTTATAACAGTTTTGTTAAGCACCACTATTCTCGTTGGAGGATTCATTGGATGTTTTTTAGATAATGTAATTCCCGGAACAGACATGGAGCGAGGATTAAAAGCTTGGGCAAAAGAGATGGCGTTAAACATTGACACAGGAGATGATGGAAATGAATACACACCAAATACTTATGACTTTCCAATCGGAATGAATGTTTTAAAGAAGTGGAAATGGACTTATTACTTACCTTTCTTACCGACATATAAATCACAGTCGTGTTGTCAGCAAAGTAATCAGTCGAATGACATAGAGAAGTGAAATAAATTTCATTGACGTTTGTTTTCGTTAGAATAATAATCGTTGTTTATGTAATCTATTATACTTTAATAACTCATCACTAATTAACGACTTACATTGTTATCCCAGTAAATACTGTTATATTGTTGTTATATATCCTTTACATTACTTTTAACACTTTTATTTACTTATATATCTTTGTCTTATAACTTTGTTCTATTACAGTAATAGTATGGTTACATAAAATTGTAATCAATATTAATATTGTATAAATTAAAAAAAAATTTGTATGCAATGTGTTGTTATTGGATTTCATTGATTTTGTTTACTGTTCTATATTTTTTAGGTGCTATTTGATTTTTTCAGTAAAATGAATGTTTCTTATTTGGGGGTGGGGGGAGAGAATGTTAAATTACGACTTCCTACTCGCACGCAACTTAACCCTACATTTCAACCCATTCAGCTATTCTGATAATTAATTCCCAAATTACAAACAGACCGATTTAAGCACATATTTTCGTTACATAGATAAATATGAAGAAAAATGAGAATAATTGTATTAATTATAGTTCAGTTATTATGTAATAGTCATTATTTACAATGTATTCTTTTGATTTGCAATTGAGATTCATTCGCTTTTGATATAACATAAAATTTTGTAAATGTTAAACAAATTGATAAAATATCATTATTCTCTGAGTATAAAAAATATATACATAGTTAACAATAAAGTGAACGTGGAATTCTCTAAAAATTCAGGTATACAATTATTTCTTGAACTATAAAATATCTTAATAGCTTAGAAACAATTACCGTAATTTGCTATCAATCTTATTTTATCTACACATTGAAAAAAAGAGCAACTGTAACACTGATGTGACAATGTTATGTGCCTGAAAAATTCTGTTGAATAAAAAAATATATGTTACATTGATGTAGCGATGCTATATTACAGGAACATTGCGCATATGCAACAAATGTAACGGAAAATTAGTAAAAATTTACTTATGTAACATTTAGATAATAGTTGTATAACAAATGAAATATAACATGAAAATAACGATATTGTGTTGTAGAAGCATACCATTAAATAACAAAAAATGGTCATGGTAAAGTTCAGGAAACTCATCTTCGATAACCTTGGAATTTTAGTAAGTTGTACAGTTTTACCGAACAAGAATATATGTATATATTGGGTAAGAAAACGTCATCTTCATATCGTTTTTATGTTTTAAAAAAAATAAAAAGAACAATTTTGAAGCAGTATTGAGTATAGTTGTATATTAAGCTACAAGCGCGGTCACTAGCCGATTGCCCTTACAGTGTCAGATACACGAGCGAAGCAAGGGCGTTAACTGCCACCATTGGCATCAGCTAGTTACCGCCCGTGTTGCGTATGCTATTTTTGTTTACAAGTGAGACGGAGGGGTTCGTTTAAGGTGGTGGGGGACGAAAACGAAGAGTTTAAGGAGCGAAGTCCCTCGCAAAAGGAAAAAAAATTTTCTTCCATTAAATTATTCAATTAATAATAAAAGCTCCTCATAAATAAACAAAAAATAATTTATCCTAAACATGAACTTTCCCCTTTCCATTTATATAATTAATACGTTGTCCAAATATAAATCCGCCATTTTGATCCAACTTTCAAAAAAGTATGAAAATGTTCTGGAAACATCCACACTACGGTTATACAGGAACAGCAAGCGATGTTTTTATTTATTTTATAAGTTTAAAAAATGCAAAATCTGCATCCATTCTAGAAATCTTTGCGTCATTCTCAATGCCTCGTGCATTATTTATAATTTCCCGTATTTCATTGTCCGCAAATTTAGAGTAGTCAATCAGTGAGTTACTGCTCGGAACTCGGTAACCTAGAATACACTGAGAAAAGAGTTTGATTACATGAACCAAATGTATTAAGTTGGCACTTTTCTACTAATATCATATCTTCAAGTGGCTAATAATTCATTCAATTGAATGATGCTGGTTATTGCTTGAAAGAAAATATTGCTTGATACAAATTTTTAAATATTTGTTAAGTAATCTGTTACTGTTATACTATTAAGTATTCTGTTAAAGTTAAGCTTTATAGCAATGCAGCAAAATCGAGGTACAATTATTCAATTAAACAATAAACATTAACTGGCCCCGTTAGGAAAAACCAAGCAGCTCGAAAATTACTATGTGGTTCGAGATTTAAAGTTAATGGACAGTAGCGGCATCTTCAGTGTGCAGTTGAAGCACCTAGATAAGGCTACTCCCCCCACTCCGGTCACCGATATGAGTGGAGTCAAGAACACGCGTAGCGGAACAGTTAACAACAAGCTGCTAACGGATATGGTGAGACCAAGCAAGGCCGACAATCAAGGGTCTAACTTGTCTGACATGAAGCTGATTCTGGATAAATTAATACAGCTAGACATGTTGGACAGCCTGAACAAAGATATTGTCGACGTGAAGCAAGCGGTCCAGGAGTTGCAAACAATTAAAGATGGCTTCAACGCACATGTTTTGAGCTGCGAGATAGAAAATGAGCTACTCAGAGAAAAATTGCGAGATTTGGAGTCTAAAGAAAGCCAAAGAAAGAGACACGAGAAGCGCCGAAATTTTATTATCAAGAACCTAGAGAACTTTAAGAACTTTGATGTGGTGGAAGATTTTTTATCATCTCAACTGGACATTGTTGATCAGGTTGACGAGATACTTCCAATCAAAAAGGGTGGTGTAACTATCTTTTTGGTGGTCAAGATGGTAACAGTAGTGGGAAAAGATAATGTAATGAAGGCCAAGAGATGTAAGCTATGGAGCTCGGGCATATCCATAAATTATGACCTAATGGAAAACGAGCGTAAAGAAAGAAGCAGAATCCAGAAAAAGATCAAAAGCCTTGCGGGTGAGGAAGAAGCTAAGGGGCGAGAGGTATAAATTCACTTCTTGGGTTTAACCATCGATAATGAAAGGTATATTTAGGACACTAAAAAAAAAACCAGCTGCAGCTTTCGTGCCAAATCGCAGGAGCAACCAGAGTCAGAAGCCCCATCAATAGCTCTCAAAAACTCTAATCCGCTAATTTCTTCCCTCAGTAGTCAGTCCCAAAGCGAACTTCTTTATGATTACCCTGCTTTAGATGTATTGCAAGATAGTCAGCAGAGTCATCAGCTCTATGAGCAGCGAAATGCACTTAATCTAGTTTTTTGGAATCTACGTGGTTTTAGTAACTTTTTTGATCTTACAGAAGTCGAATTTAGTAGTGATCTACCAGATTGCCTACTGATAGGGCTTACCGAGACTTGGCAGACATCGGCATCTACAACCGTACATTATTTTGTACGTCACATGAATACGATAGCGGTAGCTAGAGTGAAAGAGAAGGCTATGAGGCGGGCCAGTGGTGGCTTTTGTCTATTGTATAACAAGAAGATGGCAAGTATTGTTAGCGACCCAACTTTGAATGAATTATGAACGATGTGTACTTTTATAGTCGACACTAAAAGGATTACGGTTTTTAATGTATATTTAAAAGATCATCACTAAATCTTACGATTGGAAATGCTAGCTGAAGAAATCAAAGCTGCTCTCGTGAAGAATCCTGGAGATGTAATAATCGTAGGTAGGGATTTTAATGCCAGAGTTTGAGATCGAAACCAGCTGGACGAAAAAAGTGTAAAAGATACTGTGCTAACATCAGATCGTAAGGCTCCAGATAAAGCAGTAAATAAAAATGATGAGCTGGTACTAGAAACCTTTGCGAGTTATTAAGTTATCGAAATCTTTACTAAGGCAAATTGTGAGGATCTTTGGTATACATTACATGGAAACGCAGTCAAAGATGCAGCTGATATGATCTTGGAGAGGCTAGTGAGTGTTCAATATGAATTTAACATGGAAAGAATCATGAAATCTACCTTTATTCCGCAGTATAAATCCGGAAATCCGGCAGCGACACTTGATTATCCATTTTTCCGATATGCTAGGTCCTTCTGACAAACAAGATGCTTCTAGTTTATATAGTTATGTGATACATAGTCTAAAGCTTCGATCATTTGTGCTAACTGAATAATTGTACAGTAAGTGAAGGCCGTAAGTGTAAGCTGGATATAGTACACTCGGCGTCATTAATGCTTGATCTATCAAAAATTTTTATACCATCTGAACAATTATCAATAGAGTAGTTTTTTTTTCCAAAAAGAGATTCCACATCTAAAGTAATTTAGAAAGTTTATGATTGAATGCCTTCTTAGATATTCCTTATAACAATAGACTATCCCCACTTGAAATTTTTTGAACCTTCATTCAAATAAATAATGAATAATAATAATAAATTTAAATAATAACAGGTTCGAATCTCATAAAAAATAAATTTTATTGAAACATAAAAATACAAAAATTGGACTAAAATTCATGAAGCCTATGAAAGTAACAGAAAATCGATAAAAAAAAAATTAATTATGTAAATTATTTAAAATTTTTCAATTTTTTTCTTCGAGTCTGTATACAAATGAGAGTTTGACTGAAATACTATCGATATAATTGTTAATTCATATTATGCTCATTCAGATTCATAATTACTTAATCGAACTAATTTTTTTTTCAATCTAACGAAGCATATAGTCCATCTGCAATAATGGTTTGGTAATTATAACCAAATAATTACTTGTGTCAACTAGAAAGCTTAAATATATAATTTACTTTTAGTAACTAAATATTCATTTCGCTATATTCGAGGATAGAATTTGTTAAGTATAACCAAATCTTGGTTGATAGAAAGAAACTCTTTTTTCCGTGTCGTTACCCTGTACGTGTGATGAAGAAAAATTATAATTTTTAATTTTTGAATTATCACCTCATTATCAATAAAAATATTTAAAGTATGAAATAACGATACTACGAAAATCAATAATTAAATAATCAAAGTTACTAATTATCAAGCAATGAAAAATGAAAGTTCAGAAGTTATAGAATAATTTGATACTGGATAATGGAATTCTGAAATTACTTTGATGTATGTACGTGGTGCCTCATCACTCACATTTATATTTTCTTATATCTATTCCAATGTATTTATAATCGGGTGTGATTGATACTGAGCGGAACTTGTCGCCAGGTCGATTACCCCATCAATTGGGACACAAATTAGGCTACGCCC